CGAAATCCAGGGACTTGATGACGGTTCGATGACGCCTTGATTCTGCATTGTCGTTATCATTTCGTTTACTTCTGTTTGTTTTGCTAGAGGAAGACGTCGTGGTACTTGTCGGATCGGTTTCGAATTCTGAGTATCAATTCGGTGAGTTACCAGAGCTGTTTTACCTTGGTCATTGTCACCGGTTGAAAACACGTTTGCGAAATCAGCAATCAACGCCTCGGCTTTTAGACGGTCTTCTTGATACAAATTAAGTTCATCCAGTAGATTTTTGGTAAGTTCTTTGAGTCTATCTTTGTCTGTTGGTAGAACCTTTTCCTGTTGCTCCACATCTAATGATTTCACCAAATTTATTGATTGGCAATTACCTATTTCCTCCATTTATTTAATTTTAATAGTGTGTTTAGCGGTATTCATTATTCTGACAGGAATAAGACCATTTTTGTTCGCTTCTACCAGGCATTTTCCAATGACCGCGTTCTGTACATTTGTCGTTGAGGTTGGCTCCATCAAATAGAACTGGTGGTCCCTTGGATCGCAATTCAACTTGCCCCATACGATGTTTTCAGATGATTGAGGTAGTTCCATGTCACAATCGACTGTTACTCGAATGCATTTTTCGTCGCTACCCCCCATTATCACTTCTGTATTTCTCCATCTAAGAATGCGTTGTTCTAAGTCAATTTTGAACCCATATTTTGTCAGAAAGTCGACACCTATTATGCATTCATCGATGATATCCGCGACTAAGAATGAACCTTCGAATAACAAGTCGCCTAGCTGAACAGTACGGAGAATCTTTTCATAGACTGGTGCTGTTCCTCCGGTAGCTGTTCGAAGGATGTATTTGTTAAAAGTCTCTTTCTTCAGATTGTGTACCAAATCAGATCTTAAAATCGATTTTGTTGCTCCGGTGTCGACTGTAATTACGCATTCTCGTTGATCAACTTTTCCGTTCAGCCATAAGTCGTTTCGATTTCGATGTGGTCTGGAAACGTTAATTACGGTACTGGGGGCGTCAATTCTACTTGAGTTTTCGTTTATCTGACAAGAGAAGGGATTGCTTGAGTTCCGAATCACGAAGGGCTTTGATAAACGTATCCAGGGCATTTTCGTCTCTATGCTCGGGGTCTGATGTCGGATACGACAGCAATGTCAACCGTTCGATATCTTGTGCCAGCTGCTGAATGGATTCGCCAGATCGTTGCGTTTTGTTTCTAAGTTGAGACCGATAAATCTGTTTCATGTGTTCTTCACCATAACGTAAATCCAACGCGCTAACCAGAACTTCATAGTTGAAGTGATTCTTAGCCGGAATCGTCTGAAGAACCTCTGCTGCTGAACCTCGCAGGGCCAGTATCAGTGCTGTTGCTCGTTCTTTTCCGTTCCAACAGTTACTAGTTGCCGCTGCTTCGAACTGGGTTTTATAAACGTTCCAGGACATCTCTCCGTCAAATGCTGGTACCGTCAAAGTTCTTCCGGATGCGTGATCTAACGGCATGGCCATTTTTTTTGGATTGCTCCAATTCTCGCTTCAATTTGTCTATCTTGTGATCTACCTCAACGGTCTGACGATCAAGTTTCTGTTCGATCATTTCTATTCTTGTTGACTGTTCTTCAATCTGTTCTGCCACTTCCAATTTTACGTGTTTTAGCTGGTCCTTGATCTGTTTTAACTTCTCTGTCTGTCGTTCGGACTGTTCCTTGATCTGTTGTTTTAACTCTTCTGTCTGTCGATCGGACTGTCGTTCGGACTGTTCTTTGATCTGTTTTAACTCCTCTGTCTGTCGTTCGGACTGTTCCTTGATCTGTTGTTTTATTTCAGTTGACATACTAAGCAGAAGTTCCATCATTTTAG